GTTGATTGTACAATTTTAAGCATTTTAAAATATAAACACGCCTATTAACTAGGAATGATACTTATAAAGAACACAAATATTGATACAATATTACGCTCTATTGAAATAATAATATAATATACTATTCAGATATAATTTAGTATGAATATAAAAACACATTGAAAAATCTTCGCATTCGACTTTTAAATAAATAAAAGTAATAAATATACTAACGATAGATAGTTAAGTATAAAAAATAAAGCATTTTTATTATTAGTCCAGTCCACATTAAATTAGAAATATCTATTCAGCGTTTAATAAAGATCGTCATCAACATTGGCAACGTGATGATTGCAAGATATGCAAAAGGGTAGTCCACAAAATAGTCTTAGATTTCGCGACAAAAATATCCAGGAGCTATCTAAGTATTATATTTCAGGATATTGACGTACTTAGGGTAGCATACTAACATACTGACTTCAGGAGTCAGATACTGAAACATTGGTGGTATGGCAATATAAAGTATGTCAACTTTTTTTAATAGTTTAAAATTAGCGAAAAAACTAATCTATACTAATATTATAAAGCTAAAGAGTTTGTTTGTTTGAACGCAATTATCTCAGGAACTACTGGTTCGAATTGAAAAATTATTTTTGTGTTGAATAGACCATTTATCGAGGAAGGCTTTAGACTATATAACATCACGCTGCAACTATTAGGATAAAAGAAATAATGGAAAACGCGGACGAAGTCGCTGGCGGCCGCTAGCTTTTAATATAAAAATAGACTAAACTGCTCAGATTATACTAGCATAGGACGCGGTGACTCAACAGATTTCAGAAGTTGGCGTAAAAAGGAGCTCCAACTTACAATTTATCACTTTATTATGTTAAAAATTCATTTATTACTAAATTATTAGTAGTTAGTTCATAAAAAGTCATTTAATGGAATATACAAACTCAGCAATCGCTAGAAGTTTGTTTCTCGCTGCCATCGTCATTGTGTTCCAGCGCCTGACCTCCGCTCTGGGTATACTTTTAGTACTTCAATTTATTGAAATACGAAGCTGTAGAAAGCTCTTGCACATTTTGTCACGAGCTCTCCGACCAATTTTTATTGTGTCTACAGGGGGCCAATTCTACTAAATAAATTTTATTTAAATCGAATCGAAAACGGATCGAAACCGAACGAAACTAGAGTTTTTAATGTTTTTTCTATTCTACTAAGTGACATACGATATAATTCCAGCTAAATTAGAACCGGAATTGTATCGTATGTCACTTTGTAGAATAGGAAAACCATTAAAAACTCTAGTTTCGTTCGGTTTCGATCCGTTTTCGATTCGATTTAAACATAATTTATTTAGTAGAATTGGCCCCCTGTATTATATTTTCTTTTCCAGTCTGATTTGACGGGCGTGATTGGTGGCGGAGACATCGATACAATAATCAACGTCATCAATGAGAAAGTAGTCATTGACTACATAAACAGGTTCCAGGCGAAAATCGCGCGCTACTTCTCCGACATCATCATACAAAGAGGCAATCCTGTGTTGAACCAATTGAACACTTGGCGGTTCCTCGCTCCATTCTTACCAAGGCCACAGCCTTAGAATTGAACCCTATTGCGTATAAAAAAATAGCTTTACAATTGAAGAAATACTGATGTTTATGATTTTTGATAATATGTAGCGATGTTTTCAAAGTACCTATATCATGTAACTTTATTTTTAAATATTGATTTTTTAGTTAAATTGATCTGAAATAATTGTTTTTTATTTTATTTAGTAGGATATTACCAAACGTGCTAAAATTTTTGGAAGAATACCCGCAAGTTGAATGTGAGACCGAGTCTCTCGGTGAGTTCAAAAATGTGCTTGTTGCTTACCGATTAGCGACAAGCACATTTTTGAAGATAAAAACATTTTTCTGTAAGATGCTGAGACTATCGTCATAGAGCAGAACATAATAATTCAAGCGAAGACAGTGGCTCAAAATTATTTCGTGTATGCATCGTGTAAAGTCACCTTATCACGATGGTCTCAGCATTGAACATTTAATGATGAGCATTAGAGTCTCAGTAATAGGGTTCCGACTGTTGCCCTTAAGGCACAGAACCCTAAAAATGACAAAACTGCATCATTTTTCTTAGGCTCATTACCCACTGTCGATACAATTCAACCGAGTTCGAATCGATCCTTGCTTTAAAAGAATATGTACGAAATTACTCTAAATTATTTAAAAAATTGTGTCGTTTAGCCAAATGTAATTATTTAAATGCAAAAATTGAAAATAGTAAAGACAAAGTTAAAATGACGTGGAATATCATAAATAGTGAAACGGGATGAGAAAAATCCCGGAATATAAATTTTAATTTAAACATTGATAATAAAAAAGTAACATCAGATCTCGAAGTTGCTACAGTATTTGAAAATTTATTTACTGAAATTCCAGTCTTAATTACACAATCTTTGAATTCCTCTTCCACTGTTGCTGAATCTATTTTAAAGGCAAGTTTAAATAATTCTAATAGCCAATTTAAGTTTCAACACATTGATTTTAAAAATATAATAAAATCTTTTAATCAGCTAAAGAAAACGAAAACTGCTGATTTATGGGGTAATTCCATTGAAGTTTCTAAATCGGTAATTGAGACAATAGCTCCAATCTTAGCTTATATATTTAATGAATGTACTGATTGTGGTATTTTTCCTGAGCTCATGAAATATAGTAAAATTATTCCTTTACATAAATCGGGTAGCACATCTGACCCTACTAACTTTAGACCTATATCCGTGCTACCTACATTTAGTAAGATTTTTGAAAAAAATCATGCTGGATCAAATAGAAACGTACTTTAACAAGAATAAGCTTATGAATCGACAACAATTTGGTTTTACAAGGGGTCGCTCGACAACCGAAGCCGGTGTCGAGTTAATACAAGAAATTTTTAATGCCTGGGAGGATTCACATGATGCGTTAGGTGTTTTCTGTGAATAGGTCACGGCCTAAGGCATTTGATTGTGTTTTTCATGAAACATTGATTAGGAAACTGCATTTTTATGGATTTAGAGATAACTCATTGGATTTTATTGTCTCATACTTGACTGACAGAGTACAGAGGGTTGATATCAATGGCAAAAGATCCCCTGGATCGAAAATTAAGATGGGCGTTCCGCAGGGCTCAATACTTGGTCCTTTCTTGTTTTTGATTTACATAAATGACTTGCCTTATTTCGTAAGGGATGATCACGAAATAGTTTTGTTTGCGGATGACACTTCACTCTTGTTTAAAATTAAAAGAGGGTTACCTCTAAATGACGATGTGAACAATTCTATCGCTAAAGTAGTACATTGGTTTAATGTAAATAATCTTCTCCTTAATGAAGAAAAAACAAAATGCTTAAAATTTGTACTACCTAATGTTAAAAAAGTAGATATAAATGTTAATAAAAAAGATAAGAACATGGGCCTTGTGGATACCACAGTATTTTTAGGAATAACATTAGATTCTAAACTACAGTGGGGCCCACATATTGATAAATTGTCGAGTAGACTTAGCTCTGCAGCATATGCCTTAATGAAGATACGTAGGTTAACTGACATAGATACTGCCAGAATAGTATACTTCAGTTACTTTCATAGTGTTATGTCGTACGGTATCCTATTGTGGGGAAATGCTGCCGACATACAAACAATTTTTGTGCTTCAGAAAAGAGCAATTCGATCAATTTATAATCTTAGGATTAGGGACTCTTTAAGGGAGAAATTTAAGGAAATAGACATTATGACTGTTGCTTCTCAATACATATACGAGAACTTAATGTACGTTCGTAAAAATATTAGTTTGTTTTCTATAAAAAGTGATGTACACAATTTTAATACAAGAAATAAAAATAAATTAACGGTGCCTGTCACTAGACTGCAAAAAGTTAATAACTCTTTCAAGGGTCTTTGTGTGCGCTTCTACAATAAGGTCCCAAGCAAAATACAACAATTAGATATCATGCAGTTTAAATCTACTATTAAAAAAATACTTATTAAAAAAGCTTATTATAAGGTATCCGATTATATAACAGATAAGAACGCTTGGACTTGAGATGATCCAGCAACTGGATAGGTGATTACTTCTAAACTCATTATCTTCTTTCCATTATTATTAAATGATTATGTTATTATTATAAGACCATAGTTTTTTTTTATCTCTGTTTATAATGTATTGATCTGGTAATGACATGGTTTTTGTAAATGCCATTACTCATATTAGAGCTGGTGAGTTTCTTGCTCGTTCTTCTTATCAGCCAAAAGACGTCCTGAACGAGTGGTAGGGAAAAAATGTTGGACGATTCAAAAGTACTTTTACGAAGTCTATTTGAATAAAGATTATTTTGACTTTGACTTTGACTTTGAATCAGATCAATTTCCGAGTTCACTCTATTTTATATATGTAGGTACATACGTATGCATGTTAAGTGCGAGTGCACATTTTCTTTTCCCGATTTTCCTGCCCCGCCCCTCCCCGACCTATCATTGCCCATCACAATACGAAGCAAAAAGAAAAAAAAAATATAAAAAAAAATACGGCGCGGTGAATATCAATAACCTTTAATTGACTTCTTAAGAAAATTATCAGAAATAATCCAGTCAACGATACGAGATATCTGCACAACATTCACTTATTATATCACCTGCGCCCGTGAAATCAGTGCTAATCTAAATATATTGATTAAAACATAATTTACTTATAATTAGTGTTGTGTTAGTGATAATCGCAATAGTATTCTGGAAGTGGCCAAGAATAACTCTTAGGTGAGTTGAGTATAATTTAATTAAAATTCCATCCCACTTTTAAATCATTTTCTTTAAATAAAATGGTATTTTACCAGACAAACATTGCATGAACTAACTTTTTTGGTCTTTTAATTCAGTAATGGATTCTATAAAAATAGGATTCTGAAATTAAAAAAAAAAAGCTACAAAACAGGTTACACATAACATTTTTCAATGCTAAAATTTATATCTATTTAAAATGTACCTATAAAAAACTATTATATCGTAGGTACATGGTGATTTCAACATAAAGAATACCAATTTTAACTTTAAAAGTTATTTATTATACTAGAATATCTTTCTTTAATGTACTTTTTTATTGTGTATTTTAGGATGAAATTGTGGATAGTGTTGATGCTGTGTGCATTGTGCGCTGCGGCGGCACCAACCATCGAGGATGAGGAATTCTCTTTGCCCATGCCACGTAAGTGTACAATAAGGAATTTAAGAATGGGTTATTGACAACTTTTCAAAAATATCCATATAAACAATATTTCTTCCACAAATTATGCAAGATAAGACAAATTCTTTTTACTTTAGTATACTGAAGTATATATGTAATCAATTACTGGTAAACCATATAACAAATTAAAAAAAGAACATCTTATTTTAACAGCAATATAGCGATCGAATATTAATTAATTCTATTTTCTATTTTAATATACAACTTTTTAGACCATAAGGCAGTCATGTCAAAATCCGCCCCGCAATCACGATTTTTGACTGTACTCGAATGAAACCTCTTAGTAAATTTAAAATTTCGCGCGCTTCGTTTATAGATAATTTCAAAAGTATCGCAATATCAGCGAGGGAGTGTTCATTATTTCTTATGTTCTGAATTTTTTAATTTATTTATTTAAACATAGTCCTCTGTAATTTTGAGTTTACACCCCTGACTTAACAAGTTCACAATACAATTTTAAATATGTTATTATGATGTAGACTCACGTGTTTTGAAAATTACATTGCTGACCGCAATGATAAAAAATGACAATCTTTTCCCTTTACGCCCAGTCTTAAGAGCTGATAATTAAGCTTTGTCAAAACTCATTTGCCAAAAGATGAGTGGTAGGAGGTAGATATATTATATATATTTGCCGATACAATAAACTTATTTGAATAGTGATTTTGTATCAGTAAATTTGGTTAATATTGTACTTATCTATGTTATATCTATCTATATTTATATTTTAAGAGGAAATATTTCATTTTTTGTTTGCATCAAATATATATAATAGGCTCTGAAACTATTAGATCGATTTAAAAATTCGTTCACCCACGGGAAGCTACATCATTACATAAACTTGTCACATATACTTGAACAGCATATAATTTACTTTTTTCGGGAATATCGAATCTTTTACAGCTTCGATGTTACACTAGCTGAACTTAGATTTTCTGTGTTCACTAGATGGATACTGTAAAGGATCCAAAACGACTGAAATGTAATATCTTTTGAAAGATAAAACCGTTTGAAAGTAATATGTTGTTTTTTTAACCTTATATGGTCATTAACGTCAGAATGATTGCATAAATCTGAATTCCTACCATATACCTTCTTTATATTTTGTGTTTCCGATATTTCAGCGTTGTTGCAGGCGCCATGATCACGGAGTAACTGAAGTTTATGGGGGTGGGTGTTATTTGCAGATATATCGTTCTGTGGCGGGTTCGATGCTTGGGTGAATGAATGAAAGGCTGACTAAGCTTGCGAACTTGATTTTATTATATGATAATGAAAGAAAAAGAATAGAAAACTGTAACAAACAAAAAATGAATATTAAAACAGTTTGTACGATAACCTAAATATATAATTAGTTATTAAATAGAACAAATACATACCCCGTTTCTGGATTTTCTGTAATAGATAAAACTTGGACGATATTTCACGAAGATATACTTACAGATTAACATATTTAAAATTATTGTATTAAAATTTATACGATTACATTATCATGTTCACACCAGATCAATCAATCAATTTCTTTGTTATTGGCTCTTCTATGATCTATAATAGGATTTTTTTACGAACTGACATTCATAAAGAGCACATTGGATTTCAAATTACGAAAGGTGAATAATAAAAAGAAATGAGGTTGAATATCACAGACAAATGTTTGCAAGCGGATACCTAGGACAAATTAAACGATCCGTGGTACGATGCACCGTTATAGTTCTATCTGCTTTTTCGTTCGATTCCCGTACTGTTGTACTGTTCACTATGTCACCGGAAGCTCGCATCTGCCCTAAGATTCTATTTTTATTATTACAATGAGAAAAGGTTAGCTTAGAATATTATAGGCCTCGCATTAATTTCTAATCAAGTAAAAAGTCAAGCCATCAACCAACTTCTTGCTCTTATGACTCCTTCTAATGTTTGGTGAATGATATATAAGGGGTTGGAAGTGATGTAGTATATAATAAAAATAGAGAGATTTAGTTTAGAATAAATTTAGAAAAAAGTTGAATAAAAATCCGAAAACCCGAATTCGAATTCACTCATTTTATAGATTCCATGTTTTATATAAAAATACAAAACCAAATTGATTGATTAGACCTGTCTCAGATATTCTATTTCTATGTCATTTCAAAACTCACTTGACTTATGCCACGAAACGTTATTACCAATTCAAGTTTAAGCGGATGGTGCTTTTTGAAGTGAATTGTAACACCTGAGTGAATTCGAATTCGGAGTTTTACAGAATCGCAGGGCTGTTGTCGACACACAACACTCACTGTATCTGATCGCTATACGACACTTTTTTTATTAACTTCTGATTTTAACTTCGTTTACTTCATGATCATGACGCTTGCATCGAAATATTGGGAATTCAACAATAACATGTTACATGGTAGCAATCCCGTTATCAGCCATCATTCTGGGAGCCAATTCTACTAATTTTTTTTTTTAAATCAAATCAAAATGGCTAAAATGGAACTGGAATTGTATCGTATGTCACTTTGTAGAATAGGAAAACCATTAAAAACTGTAGTTTCGTTAGGATTCGATCCGTTTTCGATTCGATTTAAACAAAATTCATTTAGTAGAATTGGCCTCCTGACGTTTAAAAGTAGGAGTTTTGTTTAATGTTATTAATTGTTTTTTGCAGCCGAAGATATAGAAAAGCTCGATGCGGGTTCCCGCAACTTGCTCATTAACGCCCTGATTCGCCAGATGTTCACGTATATCCGTCACGTCATCAGGAACGGCTCTATAATATTCAACACGCCGCCTCTAGACCCGCTCGAGCTGGATCATTATCACTTTTACTTGCCTGCTGTGTTAATCAAGTATGAAACTCTTTAATACACTGTCAGTTGCACAGTCCCCACTGCAGGGATAAGTTCCTGGAGTGGGGACGTAAAAAGAAGGCCTTGGGGCCTTGCCTATGGCTGGATAAGGAGGGTGGGCCACACTCCACGCTGGTCCAAAGCGGATTAGAGGGTCTTAACGACTGCAATTGCAGCCGGGACCAACGGCTTAACGTGCCTTCCCAAGCACAGAGTAGTTTGAAAAAATAATTATTACGTCACTCATCTCGTGACCGACCCTTGCAAATGTTGCTTAGTAACAACGATTGCGGGTCACGGCGCTTATGAACTGCGCTACCGAGCTATAGATATCCATAAAGATTTAAATGGGTTTGATGACGACTTTAAGCTCTAATTAATGATCTATTTGTATCGAAAATGTCACTTTAAAATAATTAAAAGTATAATAGATGTTTGTGCAACTTAAAGGAATCAGTTTTTTTCTTACAAGTTTTTCTATAGGCCAAACAACTTAGGAGTTTTCACTAACTTAGGAGTCGCCCAAATGTGTCGCCTAAATATTTAGGAATCGCCTAAAGTAAAAATACATTTCACTGTTGACTAGGAAGCACGTAACGAAATTAAGCAATGTCTAAAGTAATGATATTCGTTATGCGGCGCCGTGCACTATGCATTTGCGTACAGACAGGTCATAAATATGTCAAAGGATAAAATAAAAATATTGTTAAGCTATACCTTGTTCAAGATTAGTGAAAACGGAGGTAACATTCATATCTATAATCGAAGAAGTAATAGGGAGACGACTGGATAAAAAAAAGAAACTGTATTTAGTCAGTCAGTCAGGTAATAAAAAAAATATTAGATATAACGGCGGGTAGTCCGAAGGGGCTATTACGAAGCCCAAATAGATAGTCCATATCAGGGGACTATCTTTACAATAACATTGCAGGCGTATAAACCAACGTGGATTTATTCCATTTTATCACTTTTTAAACGAAACTATAACGAGATGAGCGTGATGTTATCGGATGTCTTTACTCCTCGGCGATCGGAAACAGAATGTGTGCCAAAATGGCGGCAACTTGGTTTTTATAAACGAACTGTCAAAGTCAGTGTCACCATTCTAATAAAATTAAAAGTATCGATGATCACGCTCTCTTTACAATCGAGTAACTAGCAATTAAAATAAAAGAAACTAAATCAAACGATCTTCGTAATGATGATGCGATAGATATGTATTTTTTTACTGCAATTTAACAAGAAATAGCTTAGATAACATGCGTCAAAGTTGAGGAGTGGGGGCTCACTACATCACAGTTTCATAGAAAATCGTGACGTCATGTGACATTTTAACTCAATATATAACGATTAATTAGTAATTTAATGATCACGATAAAATAAAAATTACTTTTTTAATATTTTCCACCAATCTACCCGACTGAAAAACATATAAAAATTAGTCGTCATCCCTATTACTTGACAATTTTTTCTAATTTAAACATACGTTTAGGAAAGAGGAAAGAGGACTATGACACAGGACTAGAACTCGTGACCTTTCGCATTATGAATGCACAATTGATGAAAATTAAACGAATATTTTAACCAATAGACAAGATATTGAACGAAGGATATCCGCTTATGTTATGACATGTTTTCAAGTAATTATCTCGACTATAGATACAAGTGTAACACAACACAACTTAAGCAGATATCTTTAACCAATAGACGAGAATTTGAATGAATTAAGAACTGGTAATAGGTAATAATAGTAATAAGAACTGGTAACAGGTAATGGTATTCTTACCAATAATAGCCCTTATTTCATTCGAATACTCGTGTATTTTACTTGAGTATAGAGCCGAGTGTACGTCTTCCGTTTAAGAATTAGGTACCTCAAAAGGAAGAACCAGAACCCTTATAGGATAATTCTATCTATCTGTAAATCTGTTCATATGTAACGTCACGACGAGTATTTTCGATGAAATTGCTTTCTATGTTACGAGGGTCAAACTGAAAGTTCTTAGAACTGGCCACTTATAAACAATATAATAAAAAAATAATTCTAAAATTTGAAAATATAACTCTTTGCCAATATTACTGAGTATATATTTCATTCATTTGTCATTTGTTTTACGATTTGGCGGCAAATTGAAAATTGTCTGTGTCACGTCATCATGAATTTAACACGAGAAAATTTTCGTGCAATGATTTTTTATGACTTTCGATGTCATTTAAGTCAACAAGAAAGTTATGATAGACTACGATTGGCCTTTCACGATGAAGCCCCATCTCGTGCGACTGTTTACAACTGGTTTAATGAGTTTAAACGTGGTCGCACTAATCTCACTGATGATTTACGTGAGGGACGGCCTTCTACGGCGACGACTGAAGATAACATCTGTGTTGTGCGGCGTATGATAGAGACTGACAAAAGAGTGACCTATCAACAGATTCGGACAAGCTTAGGCATCGGTATGAGTCAAGTGCACAAAATCCTCCACGAACATTTAGCGGTCAGGAAGCTTTGCGCCCGGTGGATACCTCATAATTTGACTGAGGCTCAAAAACTCCATCGTGTGGATTGGTGTCGTAAAATGATTGAAAGATTTAACGGAGGTGACTCAAATGCTGTGTTCGACATACTAACAGGTGACGAAAGCTGGATTTACTGTTATGATCCTAAAACCAAAAGACAATCTGCTCAGTGGGTGTTTCCTTTCGAGGAGTTGCCAACTAAAGTGAAGAGAGATCGAAGTGCGGGAAAAAAAATGGTGGCCTCGTTCTTTGGAAGGATAGGTCATTTTGCAACAATTGTGTTAGAGGATTAAAAAACAGTTTCTGCAGAATGGTACACTACCAATTGTTTGCCACTTGTCTTGGAAAAAGTTCGAGAGAAACGACCTCGCAGTAGGATCCTCCTTCACCACGACAACGCCTCGTCGCACACCGCCAAGCGAACGATCGACTATTTGGCGACATCAAACGTTGAATTACTGGGTCACCCGCCGTATAGCCCCGACCTCGCGCCTTGTGATTTTTATTTATTTCCAAAAATTAAAGAAAAACTTAAAGGAAAGCGGTTTATGAATGCTGAAGAAGCGGTGGCTGCGTATCGCGATGCCATTGAAGAGACCCCTAAGGACGAGTGGGCAAAGTGCTTTTCCCAGTGGTTCCATCGCATGCAGCGGTGTATTGACGTGAATGGACAATATTTTGAAAAGATATAATAAAACTAATAACTGGCTAATGTAATCAGTTTTTGATTTTCTAAGAACTTTCAGTTTGACCCTCGTATGTACCTACTCGTAGACTGAAATTCTGAATTATATTGATTTATTCGAATTGATTTTTCTAGTTTGGACTTGGATCTGAAAGATGTTCTGGTCACAGGAATTGGGGACTTTGTAGTGCATAGAAGCAATTTAAACATGAATACTCTATCTTTTGATGTCGAGATCTCAGTCCCTAAAATTAACATTGATGCTGGTAAGTATAACCCATTTGATTCAATTTCAATATTTTTCACAGATTTTCACGCGCTTTCACGGTACTCATTATTTAAAACTACTTGTTTCTATTTAACACAGAACCTGTAAAGGATCTGAAATGTTTTAAATGAAATCAAATATAAACTCGTTACAACCGGTCAAAAGTAGTTTTGTTTAGGATCAATTTTGTTTATTTTTAAGATGCGCCAAAAAGTGGTTTCACCGAATAACCGAATACTATTCGGTTTAATATTTTAATTTCACCAGTATTTCTAAGTGCTCTCTGTCTCCTTAAATGTGTTTATTAAAAATTTCGTTTTGAGGATTTAAAAATAAACGTTAATATAAGTTTTAAAAAAGGAACACATATTTGATTGAGGTTTAAAAAATTTTTAATTTAAAATTTAAAATAAATGTTGACTGTTTATTTAAAAAATAAATATTTATGATTTAAATGTAGTGACTTTGTTCAATTAACTTGATTTTGCTCATTCTTTATAGGATTTATTTGACTTATAATATAAATTTTACATAATAAGTTTTGTCTGTTAGTTATATACCGTATCATGTAGCCAAAAAATAGAAATACTCAAATCGAATATATTCGGTAATAAAACTGAATAATTCGGGCTAATACAAATAGTGACAATGATGCCAAATACGCCGAATACCGAATACTAAACGAATTTTCGGCGCATCTATACTTTATTTAGTCTAGACTGTTACAAGTACTTGTGGTAATGGAAACCTATGTACCATTTCTTTTATTTATTTCTTTTCGAACGGATTTCGTTGTTTGATGTATAGATAAAAGTCTGGATTAACATATAAGCTATTTTTAAGCCTAGTCAAAGACTCTCTAGGGATAGAAGTACCTTAAAGGGCGACTATTTTTTTGTGAACGCTGCCTAAACCGTAACACATATAGGCGTAAGCGTATATAACCGTAAGAATACTTTCTAAGAAAAGTAGTAAGGCTTTTATAATATATAAAAGAAAATGCACAAAATTAAGAAGTCCAGAACAGATTCGTTCCCACAGTCAGTACCTACCCGCTATAGGTAATTCGATAAATTTTGCAGTCTGTTACTTGTTGGGGTCCATGCCACTCACCCCCACTCAAACAAAATGCTTTTAAAAAACCAGTGAAAAATATGAAATTAATATGTATTACTCTTTTCAGGACATTATGACTTAGTTGGCGATCTCTATACTGCTATTCCCCTTTACGGCAAAGGAAAAGCGAAGTGAGTAATCGTTGAACTTATACAATTGATTTTTTTTTTCTTTTGCGATATGGTGAGATATTATTCAAATGATTATATATTTATTAATCAGAGAATCGAACGATTAAAAAATTTGTCGTAATATGATAAAATAATTACCTACTTGCTTCGATTTTATTGTAACTACTTGAACCTAGTGTTCATAAAGATGATGAAAGGCTACGAATGTAATCTATTTAATGAATGTAATCAATCAATTTAAAACAAAGCAATAGAAAATATTCATTTTATTTCAATTTAACAAGAAATAGCTTTAGGCATTGAAGTCGCGAGTGGGGTCTTGCTACGTCACAACTATTTAGAAAATGTATAAAGGCGTGACATCATACGACATTTCAACCCAATCATAGTCTCAATGTAAAGCCGTAATTTATTGATGAAATGAAATCAATACGTAAATATAAATATTTAATATTATTCAATAATCTACCTGACGGACAGACAAAAAAAATGTCATCATCTCAATTGCACCCCTGTTCAATACTTTTTGTTTTTATCTGTCAAATATAGATACAGATGGGCAACAAGGACTTTATTTTTATTACATAACTAGCTTTCGCCAGCGGCTTCGCCCGCGTGGACCCTAGGGAAATGTTTAGTGGGATAAAAAGTATCCTATTATCTAAGTCAGCTAATACCCTATCTGTATACCAAATTTCATCAAAATCCGTTCAGTAGTTTCGGCGTGATTGACGGACAAAAATCCAAACATCTAAACATCCAAACATCAAAGAAACTTTCACATTTTTAATATTAATAGGATATTTATTAATACCTTTAAAACAGTGTCATATGATTAAATTCTTTATCAATGTTTCAGGTTCGAGGTAGACAATTATGTTTTCCGTGCAGTTATTTTCTTAAAACAATCTGAAGATGGAAAATCAGTGCTTATCGATAGAATCGAGTCACCCTCTTTTGCAATTCCTGGATTTAAGGTACCTACCTTTTTGTAAACTAACTAAATTAACGACTACCTCCGTAGCTAAACGGTTATCACGCCAGTTTCGTCGGGTTAATTTAGAAAATTGACTTTTCTATATGGTTACGAGTCCAGGGGCTGTGGTACCTTTTCTGTCTCAGATAGGTACTCCATGGTACATGGCGAGTCCGGGTGCTGTGGGGTCTTCTTTGTCTCAGAAAGGTACTCTATGGTACGTGGACTTTAGCTACTCATTTTGGAATCTGAGCAATTTAGGTGATGTTGTCTATTATTATTATTAAAAAAAAGTGTATTTTATACCTTTTTAAAAATATTAACTGTAAGGTACTAAGTGGTAAGTGTACGTTTTACGTCAACACGTTCACTATTGAGCGCGTTAAGAATTTGTATGGAGATTTGTAGTTCATGGTAGTTATCGCTAGAGGCGCTGTACCGGCATCCATACTAAAATGATTTTGAAAAAAGTTTGCGTATCACCCTTCAATCTTATTTCCAGTCTGGTTTGACGGGCGTGATCGGCGGTGGTGACATCGACGCAATAGTCAACGCCATCACAGAGGAGGTCATCATGGACTACGTGAACAGGTTCCAAGCGGTGATCGCGCGCAACGTTTCCAGTCTCATAATACACTTTGGCAATCCTATCTTGAACCAACTCGACACATGGAGATTCATTGCTCCATTTGTGCCGAGGCCTCGATCTTAGAGACCACAACAAATTGGTTTTATTGATTACAAAACTGGATTATTGACACTCACTATACATTACAGATTTGTGATGACAAAAAGCTAGAAATTCGGAACTAAACTATTTCTTATTGTTTGTAATAAAAATGCAAAAAATAAATAATTTATAAGAAATACCTCAATTTTTTTTTTCAACAAATAACCATATTTTATGGATCCTAAATCAGTATTAAGTAGCGGCAGTGGCAATAAAATATCAACATCACTTTTTTGGTTTATCATCTTTCTATCAGAGCTTTTTCGGAATATTAATCTCATAAATACAGTAACAATTTCTTACTTTGCCAAATTTGCCAGAGGGTGATAATAATATATTTATTTATTTGAAACGTTTCAATATATAAAAGGATAATCTCCACTACAGCGAAGTCAAATGATTTCTTTTTTATTAATAATTATTTTAAAGTGATATCAGAACAGAATTAACTCTAGCGTTATTCGAGGGGACTAAAATCGGCACTCTGTAAAGCGGGGATTACACCTAAGTATACTAATATTATAAAGAGGAAAGATTTGTATGTTTTTTTGCAATGAATAGGCTCCGTTAATGGACCGAGTTTACAAATAGTTTCATCTACGGCCCAAGCAGCAAAATGTGGTCTAGTAATCATCCCGGAACCACAATTTTATCAGGACTATAATGGAATAGTAAGCAATTATAACCACGGAAAAGGGCCCAATTTACAGGCGTATTTGCTCTTATTCAATATCTATAATAGACTTGGTGAACACCACTTTGTTCAATAACGACCCTATAGTTAGTCTACGTAGAACTATTTGCTCCTGCGAAGCTAACAATCTGCGCTTAATGGAACTAAATACGACAGTAAAAAATCTCTTCTAGGCTCATTCAAAGTGTTCTGAATTGGCAAATGTTGTTGCACATATTTAAATTGATAATGGTAAATTTTCATCCATTTCTAACTATAAATAATATCTAAAATATTAATTTAAAAGTAAAGTGTTACTTATGTAACAATAAGTAATGGCTGGCGCATGTATATTTTCGGTGAAGTATAATAGGTTTTCTATTAAAATTTTTACTCGCCTCTCAGTAGTAGCGTTTTTAATAAGTTAGATTTCGAAATAATTTCCGTTTCAGTAAGATCATATAACGAAAAGTCGCCATCTTGTCAGATGTTTTTCCAAATACATTAACTAACCATTTTAGGCGTACTTTGTCTAAAAAGGGCAGACATTAGAACCGTTTCTTGGCCATATTTTTTGGAATCAGGGTTCAACAAATATTAATATAACCGGAATATTTTTCATATTTTATTATAATTTTTTTGTTTAGGTATCAACATTTAGCTTGGTAGTGTTTTTGGACGTCGATCACTTTTTGACTAAAAGCAATTTTCGAGCATTGAAAACCTCAAGGTGGCGTTGGGAATAAATTATTGTGTAAAAGTAAGGTAGGAAACCTAATGTAAGAGGGAAAATTTTTAATTTATCTTGAATAAAAATTCATAAGCAGGTATCAATATTTTGTTTATTTTTTTTAACTTCTGACCCATTAACGAGTTTGGTAAGTATTTTAGCAGAAATTATAACTACTAACGGAATAAACCAATCAGTGAATTATTAAAAATAAAGTAATGTTCTTCAAATATTTATATAATTCTGGAAATTCACAATGTGTACAACAGCGGTATATTTGATATATTTGAACTGTACACAACAATCACAAGCTTACATTTTATGTTTGAAATTTTAAAGACGTTTTCCTTTTTATTGTCGTTGATTTAATTAAAATTGCATTGATATATATTAAGAAACAACGATTCTATTTGTTGATCGAATGCAGCTTGTGCTTGTTCAATAACATTACCACGTATTTCAATATAATGCTCTCGGGTCCATTTTCTAAGCCCATTTTCTAAGATCACCATATAGTTCAAAATTAGAATAGCCTTCAGTATCGCTTTCATCTTCTGATACAGATTCCTCATTTGATAATTCAAGGTCTGAATTCAAATCGATTTTTATCGATAAAGCGTCATTTTGTGCTGAGTTAGTATTATAAACGTTCTGTCTCAAATTATCACAAGAATTGTTGTGTACGGAACTATTTCCTGTTTCTACGATACTTTCTTCGCCAGACATAAAGTTCAAACCGGCACCTGAATTATTTGCTCATAGGTTTTCGGAACTTTTTGTTTGTAAGAACCACTTCTTTTTAGCCGTTTTTATTTATACAGATCCATTTGATAACAGAAGTTAATAGCAGTTCGGCAAGGAATAAGATTTATCAGAATTAAAATAGTTTGGTTGAGACTATAACAACTTTTGCAGGATCATATTAAACCAATACATTCTTGTATCAAAACCTTTATAGTAGTATTGTGATTATAACAATATTCAGTTATACCACTATAAAACTTATCCATTTTACTTATAATTGCTATCTAAAGTGGATTTATAAACCTATACAAAATCAAGTAATAAATGCAAATGGTTTCCAGTATGTTTAGCACTTTTATTGGCGTACTTTACTTGTAATAGTTCTATAATAAGTTATTTTAGCAGTTATAAGAATAGCTCACTGGTTTATCTTCTCTCGAGTACATTTACACCCACAGCATCCTTTTACAGGGCACCTAAGCGTATAATACATCTTTAATTTCGATCTATAAGAGGTTATAAGTTGATATAGAAGAGCGGATATATACTACAAGGCCCAAGTGACTCCATGCTTCCTATTATAAGCGTGACAGTAAATACTATGACCGTTAAGAGAATGTTATAAGTACTAAAGGCCTATAACATCTGCACTATAGGATAATTTTGCTGCTTTGGGGGTTTCATGACACGCAGGTGACATAGGCTATTTACCTGGGCGAAATCGTTATAAAGCTCATAGAAGGCTATAAAACCATTATTACCTTTTAAAGTAGGTTTTATTGGGTTGATCCTCTATGATATAACAACTCTGCGCGACGACGTCGAGTCGAAACGGATTTCATCAGAATAGCACTTCTAGATATAACAACAACCGCTAGAGGACACTTCCATAGATTGAATTTACTATGATAAAATACTATAATAAACTGCGCAGTACGCCTCATTAAATTGCATGCCAATCTACGATGCCAACAATAACATTTCCATAATTTTCTTCAGTTGATGGAATAATACACTGACATAAAATAAAACTCTTTATATAGGTACTTAGACACTTATCACCATATTAAAGCAAATCTTTTTGGTTTTCATCAGTGTTTACCACACCTCGCGACATATTCCTAAAATATCCAATTGGAATCCATCAGGACAATCCTCATCGCCTCTAAAGTACTCCGGTGAGTCTTCCAAAAACAAACTCTTCATCAGCACGGTCTTCTTCTCGACGGGTACATTTATTTCGCTATCATCACGTTTCTGAGGTGGTCTGGAGCGAGAGTATACTCCGAATATATAAAATATTATTAGAAACACGTAGAAAAATAAACGCGACATATTTCTATTGCTCACCAACAACGACTTTTAATAAAAACAGAATGATATCAATTCGGGCAATGCTAAGGCCAACTGACTACAGAATATCCTTCGCCCACACACAGGAAATTATGTCAGATAAATCTTATGTCCACGTACGTTTGGATCATGGCCTGGCGTCGTATTTAAGGAGGTATTTTTAGTGTATTTTGGTACTTTAACTAATTAAATATAGCAGGAAAAATGATTATAACTTCTCTTACCCAAAAAGTTTCGTCATTATAACTTAACTGAAACGGGGTTAAAGTAGCTGTAGGGCAGTAGGACCACTGCCAATAGTTTCAAACTTTTAATGATTATTACCCCTTTGACCTATTTAAAAAGCAGTTTTTTAACATCCCCTCCCCCCCTCTCTAATGAGGGGCCAGGCCCCTTAAACATATCTCTAGTGGATAAGACATTATTCTATAAACGTTTATGATACAAGTACCGAAAATCAATTTACCTACCTACCCTGATTACTGGTTCTAAGTAAAGTTATTTCAAATATGCATTATGAACTCTACTATAACCAAATTCGATGAAGATTGTTTACTAACAAAGTTTAGCTTAGCGACCAGTGAGAGGCAGATATTAATAACCTTTCAAAACTAGACGACATTATATTTTCTTTCGATTTCGAGATACTACTTTATGAAATATTCTAAGCAATTGAAATAGAATTAAGCAATTGAATTATATAGTAGTTTTTAAAAATTACCTAACCTTTGTCATTTTATGTGCAATGTCGTAACATTACAAGGAACATGTCATGTGAAAACAAAAACTAGTGAAAACCATATATTTTATTTATAAATGTACTAATAAGCACTTGATAAACTTGCGATTTATAAAGAATATAGAATTCGTGATATTAATATATATGTATGTATATATATTATATAACGTCGAACTCTGGTCAATGATAAGAGTATTTTAACAACTTTAAGCGTCTCGGCGCATAATGTCCTTTTCTCGGAATGTCCTTTCTCAGAATGTCCTTTCTTAAAATGTCCTTTTCTCAATATGTCCTTTTCTCGAAATGTCCATTTCTTAAAAAGTCCCTTTCTCAAAATGTCCTTATAATATGCAATATTGAGTTAACAAAAGACACATTAAAAACTTTTTAGTCAGTCGCTTATCTACCTATATTATCATCAAAACTATTTATTTTTAATAAGTCTTAAAAATGGTTTAAAGTAATGAGTAATATAGTAATAAAATTAGAGAAATATGATACTATAATGTAAAATCCTGAAAGTAGTACCTACTGTTTTGTTAATTAATACAAGGTTTAATGTTAATAATGAAAAATAAATAATAATTTTTGACTACAAATAAAGAGACCGATTTATGATTTTTATTATTTGTTTGTTTTATATCCAATTTTTCCATCATATTTCTATAATTTTATTACTATATAACTCATTACTTTATACCATTTTTAGACTTATTAAAAATAAATAGTTTTGATGATAATATAAGTAGATAAGCGACCGAATAAGAAGTTTTAAATGTGTCTTTTGTTAACTCAATATTGCATATTATAAGGACATTTTGAGAAAAGGACATTATGAGAAAAGGACATTATGAGAAAAGGACATTTTGAGAAAGGGACATTTTAAGAAAAGGACTTTTTAAGAAATGGATATTTCGAGAAAAGGACATTTTGAGAAAGGGACATTTTAAGAAAAGGACTTTTTAAGAAATGGATATTTC